AAATCATCGATTCAATATCTTCAATTGAAGCCAAAAAAATATTTAATACTATAATTTAAATTTTTTTCTAAAAAGCAAAACACTTCAAATCATCGAATCAATTGAAAAGCATAAATTAAGTATACTTTTAGAAAAAGCAAAGATATACACCGTGTTCGGAAACAACAACAGCGTGCAAAGCATTACAACAGAGTTATAAACCATACGCTACGAAACTTCACGCTCGAACAGGAAATATAAAATTATCAAATCAAGCGAAAACAGAAGAAGTAAATATAAGTATTCTGAAAAGCAAACACGTACTCCGATTTTGATAAGCATTACAACATGCGAAGAAGAATAACGGAATCAGAAAGCATAGGCTTTGAAACTTAACCTTTCTAGATTCAAATTATAAAGTCAATTACCTAATTTCAAAAGCAAAAAGAGCAGAAATTAACGTGCTGAAAAGCAAACACGATCATAACATGCAAAGCAGAATAACGGAATTAGAAAGCATATGCTATGAAATTTCAACTCAAACAGGAAAAGGAAACTTAAATTGCCGAAACAAATTTGTTCATTTCGAAAGCAAAAAAGAGTAAAAATGAACTAAAATTTCTGATAAGCAAAAACGAACTCCGATTTTGATAAGAAGCAAAGCAGAGTTAGAAACCGTACACGATCGAGATAGATGTTGCCGTGGACATTGTCATGAACGTGTTTGGAGAATCGCCGATCGTCGACGAAAGAAGTGGCGGAGGTGTAGGTCCGGAAGTCATCGTTGTTACAATCTCCCATTGGTAGCTGTTTCAGGTATATAGTGTTGTAGAAACTTCTGGAGAATTCCGGAGATAGTACTTTGGTTGTTAGTGTAAAGGTTTCGATTGAGAGAATTTGGTTGTGTTAGCGTTTCTGCTTGCTTTTATAGGGGGGAGAGCGGAGAGGGAAAGGCGTCAGGTACAGGAATATTTGCAGTGGTGGTGAAGTGATGCCGCCAAATAAAATAAATTTCTTAGTCTACGCGCGGCGGAAGAGCGTGCTAGAACCTCGACTTTATTTACTTTTTCTTTTGTATTTTCGTGTTAGACAATGCATTTCAAATGACAACAAAGGGATGGTTCTGCTATGAATTTTTTCTCTCCGTTCAATACCTGCATGAATTTCCGACTAATTTGAATTTATATCACATAAGACTTGCTAAAGTAAAAGTGTTTTCCATCAATTTTCTCATAATTAAGTCTCAAACCCGAGCTCTTCATTTTATTTTATTTTAAAGCTTTTTTTATTTCTCTCCCCATTGAATCCTCTTTGATCCCCATTTGTTGGAGCTATTGCTCCTTTGGTGACTCGAACCATAATAATGGGTGGTTATGAATATATTAATCTGTGGTATTTATGCCTCCAAGAAGAACAACTCCTACCCTTTCATATTCATAACTCTCACAAGTTTTCATTTTTATAATACAAAATGAGTAATTTCATATTTATGACACCCTTTTAGTGTTTATCTAGTTAATCGAGACCTCATAAGTCGTACCGGATATACTTAAAGAAATAAGAAAAGTTTTCTTGTTTTTCCTATAAATAATTTACTCATGTTTTCATATTGTTACTCTTTTAGTTTATTTCCGCACAACAGGTTGTTCCAGTAGTTATTCAACGATGAAATAAGAAGTTTGAGTTATAAAGGCAGAAATAGGATGAATTTTTAAGAATTCGAGTTCTAAGAATGAGTTTTTATTTTTATCAAGAGTATTTCTCTTTTAAATGGGCCACATGCAACGCGAAATAGGATTAATTAAATCAGTGAGTGCTGAATATAAAATTCTTTCCTTCTCTCAAAATTAAGAAAGAAAACCCATGCTATAATTAGGGAAAACTAGAACAAAATGAAAAAGGAGCTGACAGAAATAATGACTTGGAATAAGGAAGCAAAAGATTTGGGATCATTGGAAGGGATGTTCGCGGGAAAATTTTATTTTGTGTCTCATGAGGCAACTTTTGTGAACTCAGAAGTGTAGGATTGGAATCTACAAATTTGTGAGACAAGAAGAGTTTCATACAATTAATGTCAGTTGCATGAGACACAAAATAAAACTTCTCTATATTTGCGTATTGGTTAAGACAAACTACAAAAAGAAAGCAAAGTCGTGGGAGAAAGAAATGATCGATGTGGTTGATTGACGCTACAAGAAAAGGACTATATGGTTCCTGTTTTACTGATGGCAGTTGAGAATTGAGTGTTTTGGTAGTGATATGGTGGTCCCAAGATATTTATATCAAACCACACGTGATTATTGAGATCAAAATATACATTTAAGTAATAATGATTTAATAATAAAAATATTTATAAACCATATGTCATGAGGAACCATGGAAACATGGCTCATGGTACCCTCACGATTTCAATTTCTTTTTTCTTTTTTTAACTTCAACGGAATAATGTTTGACTGCCTACTTTAAATTTTTGCACTCAAAAAATTTAAAAAGCTACTTCTAACCCCAAACCCTCGTAACCTGCTGGATTGCAAATTCAAAAATCCGAGTTAAAAACAAAATTATAGAGGTTACATAGCCTATAAGTACGTGTATAAACTCTCTAACTTGGACAAGAGTGGTTGATTTCATGAGCACAAGCATGTTTAAGACTAGATTCAATAGATTGGATTCCAGAGGGGGCATGCACCATTGAAACTGTGTCACATATTGGACGGACCAGAATGAGCATGCATGCAAAATAGCAGCCAAATCACGCTACAGCTTCCAGTACTGCTTTAAACAGAGGAGGCACTCGAAGCTAGGGAGCTTGGATTTCGCCTGGTTTACCTAGCTGACCACAAGCGGCCATTTGATCGTCTCCTCTACTCAATCGCAGAAGCACAACACATCCTGCTTCAGCAAGAATGTTTCTGAACTCAATTATCTTCTCCTTTTTGGTGGGTTTGAAGAAGGATCCAGAATGAGGGTTAAAAGAAATCAGGTTAATCTTGCATGGAATACCCTGGACAAGATTGATTAGTCTCTTTGCATCCTCAATACTGCAATAAGATTTCAACCATGAGAATCTAAAGGATACAGAAAACAAAGATAGTCTCATATTCTACTTCATTGAGCAAGCCAACTGATTCTGAAAAAAAAGATGTGGCTGGGGAGAGGGGGCTATGGAAGTAAACCAACATCCGTGTTTCTCTTCAACCACAAATTGGAAACATCAAAAAGACACGCAGTTTTCAAATCTCAAAAGAAACTCAAAGAATTTCTAACATGAAAGGGGCGAGAGTTCGGAACTGACAAAATTGTCGGTCACTATTGGAAGACCAGGGAAGGGGTGACGAGTTAAAAAATTGCAAAAAAGTTGAAGAGAAGTCTTGTTGTGTTCGGAAGTTGGCAGCTTATCTTTAGTTAAAGGTGGATGCGAATGCATTCGTATTCTAGATATCTGGATATTTTTGGGAGCTTTAAAAATGGATCTAAGTTTAAAATTTGAGGGAAAATTCTTCCTGATGGATCAACTGGTAACCTAAGAAACAACCATGGTGAAGATTTGGAAGACTGATTTTGACACCAAACAAATAGCAGAAATTATAGCATATTTCAGTAGAAAGCTTGAAGAAGAATATGCTTTTTGTCTTTTCTTTATTTGTTTAGTTTGCCCAGATACCATTTTATAGTTCGGTTAGTTTAACTGTGTCCCAAATGACAGGATCAAAAGTGACCCTTTTTTACAAAGATAAAGGACAATTTATGTTCAAGAGATACACTAGGGACTAAAGTAAGTCAATCGCTATATATCAGGTACTACTTAGGTTTTTTTCTTGTAGAAATGAAAAGGTATGTACCTATCATTAACTCCGGCAAGCATTACATACTCAAACAGAACTTTGTATTTATGTTTTGACTGAAGCTCTTCTCTTAGTGTTCCAAGAAGCAAGTTCAAGTTAAATTTGCGATTAATTGGCATGATCCAGCTTCTGACCTGCAATATTTCATTAGTGTGAATCAAAACATGAAGCTATTTGTTTATCCATTTTCATCCCAAGAATTAAATTGCTCAAGGGAAATACCTCATCAGTTGTAGCATTCAAACTGACTGCCAAAGCACAATTAGACTCGCGAAGAAAGCGCTTAAGCTGGGGCACAAGCCCACTTGTAGAAACGGTGACCTTCCGAGGACTAAAATGCAGCCCTTGTTCATCTACCAATATGTCTGCCGCTTTTATGACATTCTCAATGTTGTGAAGTGGTTCTCCTATTCCCTGTAGTCAATTATTTGATCATACTTTTTTTAAAAGAAACACTTGCTTGGTTGTTTAGGAAAACAGGAAAAGAATTAAGGAAGAAGGGACGAAAGGTCTTTTATTCTGGCATCTTGTTAACATAGAGCCAATATCTCAGGCAAGATTTTGTAATATTAGTGTGGAAGAGAAGGACTAGCTCCAGTCAACCATGTTGCATAGTTGAACACAGGGAGCAAAATGAATAATAGGCCTAGGAAAGGCCGCAAAGAAGGCAGGGTTTGGCAATGTTAGTGAAGTGGCTAGGATTTGGAAAATTAGCAAAGCCGGCCACATTGCATCAAGCAAGAGTATTTAGCATTCCAGAAGTTAATAAAAGATAAAACTGGTAACATTTTAGGAGGTACGTATAGAAAAATAAGAACATGTTCAGTGCAGCAAATCAATATATCATACACATACCATAAACACGACATTGCTAATTGGGCCGACTTCACTGGATAATAACTTCCGAGCTAAAACAGCCTGTTCAACTATCTCAGATGTAGATAAGTTTCTCTTCAGACCCATTCTGCAAAGTAGATTCATGTACTTAAATGAAGGGAGCCACTTCAGGAGCTGTAAATTGGAAAAACAACCAAAAGGCTAAAAGGATGCTAAAGCTTACCTGCCAGTGTAGCAAAACTGACAATTCATGGCACCACCTACTTGACTAGATATACAGACGGTGTTCATGCCGCTCTCACAAGGTATCACAACAGTTTCTATTACAAGACCATCTTCCAACTTGAATAACATCTGTAAGATCCTGTGAGTTCTATGCATTAAGTGATGAATCTAAACCAAGCAAATGGCACCACAGATAGTATAAGTATGAAAATATTTCAAATTCTACATATGGCACAAGCTATGTCCACCTTTTTAGTTCCATCAGACGCTGTCAAAATATCCTTCAAGTTTAACGTCTTAAATTCAGCATGTTCACTCAACATTTTCCTGAAATCTTTATTCAAACCTGATAATGGAACATTGAGCAAAGGCAGCTGTAACTACCATCAACAACTGAAAATTTAGAAAGTTATAGGTAAACACTGCAAAGTGCATATAAAGGAAGATCCAAGCGAAAAATTCAGAACCCTTTTCTTTCCAAACACAATAAAATCATCAACACTTTCAGCACAGAAATTTTGACAGCAAGACTAAATGCATGGGAAAGCAAATAAACCTTCTAGTTCCTCACTGCATTGCGCCTCTGAGCACGTGATTTTTGCCCTATATGAGAATTACTCCCAAAAAATTCCAAAAATAAAACAATTTTTTGACTGTTTGCAATTGTTGTGAATTTTGTGTTATTTTTCTGTGACAGCGCCCAAATATTAATGTTGTTCCCGTAAAGACGTTTCCACAACATTAGAGCCTGAGCAGGCCTATAACCATGTGACTGAACCCATTTCTGTTAAACAGGAAAGCAAAGCACCATTAGTAACCATAGTTGCATTCAACAGTAGAATCAATGTCAAAATTCTGAAACAAGATTGGTTCTTAAACCAAGAACAAGATAAGACATTCTCAATCTTGGAACTTTCCTCAAAAATCCACAAGGTTAACTTAAAATAAACGGAAGGAACAACCGAACTACAAATACCATGAGACAGAGCTTAATCTCAAAAACGCTAAACAAGTTTGAACCTTTAAGCAGTAAATACTAAAAAGGACTAAATCCCTATCAAGATTGCAACTTTCCTGAAATTTCAACGAAATAAAACAACCCTAATACACGTGCCATAAGACAGAGCTTAATCTCAAGAACACAAAACAAGTTTGAGTCCTTAAGTCGTAAACAAGACTAAATCACTATCAAGATTGCAATTTGTAACTTTCCTCAAACATTCTTATTTTTTTAATAACCGAGGGTACGGTTCGAAGCTCGTCGGATAATTGGCCCATCCCTCTATCTTCTCCGGTTAAATACTAGGCTTTGGTTTGTGGCAGGTGATGTGTGTCTAACCCACACATCACAAGTTGCGCTCTTACCACTAGAGAAAAGCTTTGGTGCCAAAACTTTCCTAAATTACAAACCTGGATAACTAAAATATACACTAGGACCTCACCAACCGAAATACACTTACCACGTGAGTGACCCTAATTTAAAAAAAAAACAAGTTTGAATCTTTAAATAAGTAAAGAAGATTAAATAACTACCAGGATTGCAACTTTACTCAAATTTATACAAGGCTAACTAAGATACAACACCAACAACTGATATACACATACCTCAAGTTCAGCATACCTCATTCCTTTCAAAACCACTTTTGAGTCCTTCATAGGATACCCATTTGGGCCATCACCTCCTATATGGAAAAAGACACAGAACAAAGTGAATACATAAAACAAACAAACAAACAGAGACAAGAATAAGTGAATGCATGTTTGTTTCTGTAAAGGGTAGTTACCAGAAGATATAAGAAGTTCAGTTTGAGGTGTTGGATGAGCATGAGAGGAGGGAGAAGAATGTTGAGCCGACGTAATTAAACGATAATGGAGAGTGGTGAAGATGGGTGTTGTTGTTGAAGGAAACAGCTTTAGAAAAGATTTGGGTTTTAACGAACATTTAGTGTAATTGGAGAAGGGAAAAGATGTTCCAAGCAAAGCAGAGTTGCCGCCGCCGGAGATGCGAATTCGCCTCATCCTCACACACACCTTGTCATCCCCAGCCGCTGCACCGATTTTGTCAACTGAAACCAGTCTTAAAAGGAGTGAAATGTTATTTGTTCAATTAATATTTTGAGGAAGTATATCACAACAAGCGTTTGTAGTCCAACGGTTACAGTGAATTAAAATTTCTTTTTATTGGTATTTTTGCTTTACATCAATACCTGTTATTCTTGGTTGTCATTGTATGCTCTCTTAACCGTGTGTTAATCCAAGACTAGGAGGAGCACTGCTTATCAATATCACAGCAAGGTAGATGGTTGTGTAACAAAGAATTAAAACTTATGGGTAATTTGATGTGCTCTAACTCCTTTTTTTCATTTCAATGCAAATAATTTCATTAAATTCCAATGTTAGGAGTGCGATTTTATATTTTTCCTACATAAAAAATCAAAAGATAAGCAAAAAGTTTGTTCGGATAAGAAGATATAGCATCGCGGAAACCTTGAGTAAAGAAATGTCATCTTTGCGGTTCGAAGGGACTTCGCTATAATGCAAGTTTAAAGGATAAAACCTGAACTTCAGAAGGTAAAATATGTGGTGCAGTTACAACATTATTGAATACAAACACCCGATGAGGAAAACAAGTCGTAAAATAAAACGAAAGAAGAATAGCTAGTGTGAAGATTTATATATGAATCGCTGACAATGTTCTGGATATGAAAGCATACAAACACAGGCTATATAACTAGCCTAGAATACAGAGCAAATTTCCAGAAGTAAAACCTCACTGTTATCTCCAGAGATTTGGTCAATAGAGCAGCCAGAATGACTAGAATCGCAGAGCATTAACAGATTCAATAATTTCCCTGTTAAAATCTCAATGTTATCTCTCGGAGGTGAGTTTACACTGCTCATCGCATGAAAGGAACCAGCCATCTCATTTGTGCGCCATTTCCATGTGACAGATAATAGATTTTCTTCCAGTTTTCTTCTGTAAATGGCTCACGTTGGATGAGTCTTTGTCTGCCACAATCAGAAAATTTCACACAAGTTAGTACTAAACAGTGATCTTCCATGGCCACATAAGATTCAATGGCTCATTTTAGTTATAATCAAAATTCTAATAATGGGTCATCTGCATATTGACTTCGGATTGTTTATACCTCTTTTAACTCTGACCACGGTAATCAATAGAAAATAACTTTAAGTTAGCCTAATTCAGTTGTTCACTCCTTTTCTCCTTGTTAATAATTCAAGTGTTCTCCTTTTTCTTTTCCCTCTTTTTTGTTAAGTTGTCTTTTCTTCAGTATTTACGTGAGTGAATGGTGAGAACAGGATCCTCAGTATTCACTCTTTTATTATTTTTGATCGAGTACCCTCAGTATTCACTCTTTCTTAGGTTTTACAAGCTACGAGCATACCTAAGGTAGTAATGACAAACGACCGCAACTTCATCCACACTATATCGTGGGAAGTTGATGCGAGCATCTGCAGGAACACCTGGTAAGTCTTTACGCAGCTTCCCTACGGCAGTTGAATGTGAGAAAGCACCCACCATCATATTGTCGTGAATCATAGATCTAAATGCATTCACCTGCATATGATGGGACTATATCAGTAACCACACTTAAACAAGTAAGCTACAGTAAGAAGAGAATTTTAAGAAAATGTAATAATTCATTAAGATTTTTCACAGCCATGACAAACAAAAACCAGATGCATCCTTAGTTGTTTATCAACAATTAAATCTCTTGCAATTAACCAAGAAGTTATTAGTAGTAAAGTGTATTGAAATTATTGGAACGAGGCAATCCATAAGAGTACATGTCAGAATTTATGGCGCAACAGAATTAAGACAAAATTTGCTTCCAATTCTTGCTCTTACAGTTTTGTTTTTTAAAAAAAATCAACATAAATTATCAGTGCACGAAAGATTTGAAGGCATATTGAGCTGAGAAAGGCTAAGAACCTCTAAAACACTGATAAAATCCAGAACATTGAATAATTTCATTTGCTGGTTCTTATTTTTGGTGAATCAGTGTGACTTAATAGCTACAAGATGGTGCGAGTGTGCCACCAAAAAATTGAAGGTATTGTCAGGCCAACAAAGTCACCAAGCTCCAAAAAACAGACCTTGGCAATCTATTCATTGTGGTGTAGCCCCTTGCATCAAATGTACAAGAGGTTCAGAGCTGCTGTCAGCGAAACAGACCTCTCATGAATTCGGAGAGATTCTTGCTTCACCCCTTCCGAATCAATAACATGAGGCAAAATGGGGACTTCCAAACATCATCTTTTTGCCTTTGCTCAGCCATCCATTTCCTTTCAAAACATTGTCTACACTAAAAGCATATCCTAATAATTCAGAATAGAAAGAGCCTATAATCACACTAAAAACCCTCATTTTCCATATGTTTCAACTACAAGGATGGCACTACAGGAAGTATGTCACAAAAAGATTTGCTTTCCATCTCGAGTAAGTGCTGCATCTCATGGTTACAGTACTTCACTAGCTTTTACCGCTTCACGATCTAAGTAAAGTTATCGAAGCAGTGCTAGTCTTCAAGATTGTGAACTCAAGTTTTATTGATATCAGCAGCATTAAACATGCTTGAGAAAGAAAGAGAGAGTTTCTCAGGCCCTCAAATTTTATGCAATAATTTCTTACGACAGATTTATCAACATTGTATGCATGTGAATCAGTTGAAAAGTATGTCTGGTTAATACCAGGTAGGCAGCATAGATAAATACTTTTAGATGTCATTTCACATCATTATATGTGACAGATAATCTTTATAAACCAACCCAAATTATGCAAAAGATAAGTTACAACACTAGGATTTTCATTAAAGCTTCCATGGATGCTCCAGACACAAGAACAGGATTGCTCTAGATCAATATAATTCCATAGAGCGTGCATATTATTGAACACAATTTCCCAGATATTCCACCAAACTTTTCTTAACATTCAGTTTTTATATTCTCAGTTTTCCAAACCAAAATGATCCAAAAACGTGGAATCAGAAAGAGGATGCCTACACGATATAAACTTGAACCAAGGACATCCTAGATCCAATTAAGCAGCCTAACATCTTTATATTAAACACAGAGTCTCATTGCTCAAAAATCATAAAGATCGCGAAGAAAATGAAGGCAGGAGAACTGTGTAAATGATTAATGAAGCAACATTCAAGAACACTTCAAGCACATCTTACAGTTGCAAGCTCCTTAGCATGAATAGGTCGGCAAGACTGAACAGTTACTGGCTCCTCATACTCGTTGAACGTGAACCTACTGTTGTACTGTCGATTAACAAAAGACAAATCAGGAAAAAGGAAGGTGTGATCAATATCAATTAAAAAAATGAAATTAGCCCTATCCCGGGAATGATTCAAAGGGCAGAAACAAGAGACACAATCACAGTGAAGAGAATTTTTTTCTCACTTGATCAACTGCAATAAGAATAGGCACGTCCTTCACAAGTGATAATTCTTCCCTTAAACGAACTACCACCCCAACAGCGGCGTGCATGGAACTAAGTCCGACCTGAACCAGGTCAAGCAGAGTATAATCTTCTGGTATTTGTACCACATCAGCACCCTTCATCCATCCAACACCAGCTCCTTCTCCCAATGGAATAGGTTCAAAAATCTTGCAGGGCAACTTTTGGAGGTGATCCTTATTATACTTCAAAAAATCCTAAATTGAGAAGAGAAAGGAATTAAGTATCCCAAAGTTTGATTCTTTGACTTGTAAATGAATTCAGTCAATAGAGGAAATTACTCTCTCCAGAAACGACAAGTTCAAGATAATATATGAAAAATATAGGGAGTTGGTTATCAAATGTATCTTTATTGAATATGAAAATTGCGCTAGACCTGCACATGTATTATACTTTAATTTTTCACAACCTTCATGTTTATGGAATAGGACAAATAGGGAAGTTATTATTAGCACAACCAACTCAAGAACTTGATAGAGGAGATAGCGCAATAGTAAAGTCACGGGAAAACATGCAGATATTGTGACGATGTGATCCATATTTGCTACATGATATTGAAGAATGACTTTCCTTTTCTAAAGCAGCATATAAAGATCAACTGTATATACATCGCAGTGCCAAGTTAAACAATTTCCAAATATAGCCTACTAGCAGATCTTTTCCACTTCCTCATGGACTCAAGTAAAACTGTTTCTGCATTTTGTGATCTAAAATTTCAAACAATGAGCGTAAAGAACTTGGGTTAATTTTTAGTTACTTAACTATCCACAAGGTATGATAATATTAATTACCACATGGAATTCATCTA